GAACACTGACTCTAAGCTTCAAATTGAGCAGGGTACGAATTCAACTCTTGCAACCCTTTAGACTGTAGTACTTGCAGTCTCAAAAAATTATTTAGAAATAATCAAAAATTATAAACATTTCCAAAAACACCACTAATTATAGGCAAGCTAAAAATTTAATAAATTAAAAATAATAAAATTAGGTTTTTATAATTCCATAGTGTTTTTTGCTAAGAAAATAGTTTCTGTTGTCATAACTGACTTTGTTAATCAGTAACTTTTTTAATTAATTAATTATTTTATTACATACTATCTTATTTTATTTCATTTGATTTTATTCTATACTATTCTATTTTATTTAATTTTTTTTTATTTATTTTCATTGTATTTAATTTTTGTTTTTATTTTATTTGATTTTATTTAATTATTTCTATATAATTTTTTCTTATTTCATTTTATTGTTATTTATTTTATTATATTTTGCTTTATTTTGATTTCATTTTTTTTTATTTTATTTATTTTTATTCTATTTAGTTTAATTATAATATATTATATTTTATTGCAATTTATTTTATTTAGTATTATTTTATTTTATCCGACAATATTTTATTGTAATTTAAACGTTATTTAATTAAATTTTATATTATTGTTTTTATTTTTTTTTTTTTTATTTTATTTGACTTTATTTTATTTTATTATGCCCCTTGATCCCATCTGTGAAAGGTCGTAGCTAACACAAATCATATCTTTTTAAGAATATAAAATCTATTTATATAAATCAATCCAGAACAAGAAAATAATTTTAGGTTAATCTTCACAATTTTTTATATATATAAATATGTAGTACAGTTGTATGTTATATATGTTAGTATACATATATGTCCATAAATTAAACATAAATTTAACCAATTTTTTTTGTTATAAAACTTCACTGTACTAGTAGTTAATTTAAAATACTTGTATATCACAGATATTATTACATAGACATATATATGTACAGTGGTACATATATACTCGTAACTACCTATGTTAGTTTAAAGTATCTAGATGCGAAATCTGGTTATATATTGATGCCCAAATCTGATAGATCTATATAAATCTGGTTATATACTTGTATCTTAGAAATGTGTCTCTATTTTTGCATTTTGTATTTACATATATCAAAATACATATATTCTGTACGTTTATCCTTTTTGGATAGATACTATAACATATAAACGGACACTAAGCAAAAACAATAATTATTTGAAAATTATAGTCATATTTCTGCCCAAGTATGTCACTCAATAAAAAGATTAGGTTGCAATAAGTTTAGTCATTGCAAAATTTTTCTAGATATAACAAAAAAATAACTATTACTTCCTTATGTGGCAGCATAAGGTACCTTCGTACCAGTGCGCACCTTCTATAGTCTCGTACACCAAGTCCAATTAGTGCTCCCTCAATTTGATCACTGCACTTGAGACATGGTCTACCTCTACGCCTTCTTCCTCCAACTATTACTTTAAACAACTAATTCACTCACCTTTTTTACTGGAGCGTCTTTATCCATTCTCACGACATGACCAAGCCAGCAAAGCTGATAGAAAGTAATTGCCACAACTCTATGTATATCAATGGAAAAATGTTCTTTCCAACAAAAAGTTACTTACTGAACGAATTCAGACTGTCTTTTTGACTGAAATGGAAAAATTTTCTATTAAAACTCCCATAATAACTTCATATCCTTAATCCCAACTACCAACAAAACAAAAAAAAATGGTGATGTACTTTCCTTGAATTACAGGGGTCACCCCTAATCAAAACCAAAAATCTGCTAACAAATTAAAACTAATTATTGTGCAATAATGAAATCCCAGCAATAAAAAGCAAATATCAGGAAATGTCATTAAATGTGATTTGTTATTTATTTTATAAAAGTCAGGATTGCGGTTTAACTGTCATCAATCAAGAAAAGTCCGAAACTACTAATCCCTCTTTAATGGAAAAAGTCCTATAAAACGGTCAAGAGTGATTAATGTTGTTGCAAAATTCTTACAAAACGTAGTGCCGAGACAATTAAATTAAAAATAAAATTGGACAATAATATATTATTTATCTTTGCAGTATTTTATTAGTTTTGCTTGAAATCAAATTATTAAATCTATTTTTAAAAATATTTTGGCAAGCAATCAACTACTTTGCATGTCTCAGCACACTTTTCGCGAAATGGCTTATCCTCCATCTCAGTGGCGCTGCCAGTAGATGTATGAAGGGTAACTATGCTCCCCTTGAGTTGGAAAATTCTGAATAATTAAAACATTTAATGTTAGAAAAAAATATAAATATATTCAGTTGATTAGTTAAGTAGTAATATAGAACTGTCAGCATTATGAGTGATGGAGGAAATGTGAGGGTGAGGTACACAACAAGACTCCTTTTTAATATTATTTTGTTAAACTTCATATCACTTGACAGTTACTTATTTGAAATTTAAGATAATCTTCTTTTATCGAACACTTCATAGATTATTTATATCAAAAATATATTTAATCCTTCGACTAAATTTAATTTACACCACTGCTTATCGTGCAGTTATGCGAGGTGGGCAAAAGAAAATGCCTATTATTTGGAAGTGCAGTAAAATATATAATATAAATTCAATAACAACGTCAAAATAAAACAATTAGATGTCAATAAATTAAGCAATTTCATATATAATATATAAATAAAACAGTATGTTACAATAAGTAATAGCACTATTACGCTTCACTATAAATAATGCTACAATATTGCAATAAAATGCTACTTTGAGGCATTACTTGTGCAAAATGATATTGCTGATATTCAAATGATATTCATACATAGTTGCAATTAGTATGTTTTACTTAAGCTATTAATATATAATATAGATTTGCTGCGTCGATTGTAGCCAAGGATATGTGTTCTACTCTGCTAATTTTTTTTTTCATGCGACTATCCTAATATTTAAGTTACAAAAAATTTGTAGTTACCTTTCGGTTGAGTATGGCCTTTCATATATATTTGAAATATATTCTTTTTTCTAGTCATTTATTTAATAAAAACAATTTTTATTTTGTTTACACCTTATCCTTTGATAAATTTAATATACTCTTGTATACTTCAACTATCAATAATGTTTAAATTAAAATCCATTTTTGTCTTGAGCAGAATAAAACAGATTCATTAAGTCAGTGGATCCTATGCTCGAACGCAAAAAAATTACATTCCTAAAATAGATTAGGTTATACTAAGTGGAGTTTTTTTGTTTTCTCAATGAGTCTAAAAATATCAGAAGGAAACATAGCATCAAGAGCATCATTCATACTCATGACAACGTAATCCGATAATATCAATCTGGTTCTTGAATATTTTGAACAGTAACAGGTAGTGTATACTGTATTAATCTATCTATCTACAATGATAACCTCAATGATCATGTCGACCTATGTTGTGCATTGCACAGACTCCAACCAATACCCTGAAGTTCTTATAAGGCTTTTCGTTTTATGGAAAGGTTCCATTTCAGATAAATTTTTTTGTTTTATGGGCAAGATTTATAGTCTTTGCACCAACATAATAACATTTTTTGAATTGAGTATTCATTGTTTTAGCTATCATCTAATAATATACATTACCCAAAACACCATAGTGATCGGGAACATAAATAAATTTTTGTTTATTACATTTTACCAACCCTGTGTTATGCATACCCTATTACTATAAATAATTTATATTATTTACTCACACTAATAATCCATTATTAGTAAACTTGATCACATAACCGAAAAGTCAAAAGTCTTATATCAAGACCTATTCGTGTTCACGTACTGTACATATATAGAGGATGTTTTCCGAGATTATTGATTAGTTAAAGAAAAAAAAAAATGTATAGATGTTTGGGCTTCATTTTCAATGATTTTTGTAATATAGTTGATAAAAGAAAAATCTACACCAGTAATCCAATAATTTAATTTATCAATGTCTTTATCATCTGCTCTTAAATTCAAAACAACTTCACAGTAGAAAGCTAGTGTCAACGGCCATGGCCCCATTGTTAAACTTTTCAGTTCTACTCCAAATAATATTGACTTTACTTTTTTTCGATCAGATATTTAATGTCGAGTTTCCTTCTAGAGACACATGGCTGCGGTGCCTTATTAAGAGTTGGTTCAATCACAATTGTAGAGAAGACAATAAAAGTGCCTCGCATTTATTTTATTACTGCCCACGCAGCTTCAGGACCTTCATCTAAATAGCATTTTAACTTTGCCAAAGGAGGTATTTAAACTTCTGAGTTGCTTATTACGTAACATAATGAGGCAATATACATAAGTGGACCCTTAGGCTCGCCAATATAACCTAATCTGACCTAATCAATAGCGAAAATGATGTGCAAATTTTTAATCGTCTGTATGAAAACACTTTTTCACTTAAATCGACTTAAAAATTATTTTTCGCAGTTGATTTCTTGTAAATGTTTTCCATTATTTTCATTGAAAATTTTTATTTTCTTGAAATTTAAATTTTTTTATTTCACTTCTAATACTTAGAGTATTATAACTATCTTGCTAAAGTCTTTAAACTAAGGGACGAGAAAACAACTCTAGATTCTCTTTGCAAAAGAGAATTCAGTGAGAGAAAGGAACAGTGATCCCAATACATTTCATACAAACTTTAATAACAGACTAGCTATCATATTACATAGTCTCTAGCAACTCATATAATAAAATAATTTAGTTCAAATTTCAGATAATATAATAATATTAAAATATTCACAAAACAGTTCATAAGTTAAAAATCAACAAATAATTATTATTAATAATTCTAAATAACATTATTATAATTTCTGGAATATGTCATTTATAGTGACTACAGTTTTGTAACAATAAACCTCAAAAATCGATGTTTCATTAAAGAATAAAAAATTCAAAACAAACTATAGCACTCGTTATATCGCCACGACAGACATTTATATAATAAAAAATCAGCAAGAAATAAATCCAAAACGAATCCAAATATATTTTAATTAATTTGCGTACAATTACAATGCAGAGCACTTATCGTATTTCAATTTATGCGATAATAATCGTTACAATTAAGTGTTTGCTGCTTATTATTCAAATTCAAACAAGCGCTGTAGGCGCTGAAACGCTATCAACTGAGCAACTCACCACAGTGCAACAAACGCACCACTCGCATTCAAACGAAAAAATTCAACAAAAAGCTCAGCAAAGTCACAAACCAGCTACCACTCTAGGAGGCTTAAACACACCACTGCTACAGAATGGTGAGTATAAACAAAAAAAAAAACAAATTTTGCCAGAAATTCAAACAAGTGGTTGCGTTTAGTAAATAATATTTTGCTTATATATATATATTATTATATATATAATTATATTTTTATTTTATAAATAAAATATTTATAAATATTATTTTACTATTATAATAAATAAATTATATAAATATTTTACTATTATTCTCTGAATTTAAATTTTAGAAAAAATAAAACAACAACGTTTGAAACGTAGTGTTTTCCATATACGCTGGAATCCAAATGAAAAATATGTTGTCGAATCTTTGGAAAATCCAGCGATTAATTCATCGAAATTGTCACCACATCCACGTTTAAAATTGTCAAAAGCAACGAAACTCACCTTAAATCCGAAACTTTATCTCTGTCACGATAAGTACTCTGATCAATGTCGCAACAAAACTGCCGCCTTTCGGGAACGCATAACAAGGACCTTCGACAAGTCCCTCAACGAAATTGTGAACGAAACCAATTTTTATAATGTCGACTTCAAGTCCGTTTTCGGTGATAGTTTCGAAGAACAATATTACCCATCAACTTGTCTCGTTATGGAAGCTGGCGTACGCGTTCTACGCCGCAGGGATCCGCCTTTTAACAAACTGCCGTTCGGTAAACTTTTCCCGAAGCAAAAACTGTTTCCAAACACAAAAAATATTAAAACTTGTGCAATTATTTCGAGTGCGGGTTCCATGTCAGGCTCAAAGCTGGGACGTTTCATAGGTAATTATTTAACCCATTTTCGCCTTTATAATGTATTTCTCCATATTTTCATAAATCAGATACCCACGATATTGTCATGCGTTTCAATAATGCGCCAACTCGCGGCTACGAAGTCGATGTGGGTAGCAAAACAACAATTCGTGTGGTGAATTCACAAGTGAGTTTTGTTTTTATTCAATAATTAATTTATACATACATATTATAATAAAACATTACAAATTAAAGTAGATTTATTTCATATACATTCATATTATTTTTAAAATTTATTTGCTATTTCCTTACAGGTTGTCACCAAACTTGAATTTGATTTTCCACATGCACCAATCTTTAAAAATGTCACAATTGCCGCTTGGGATCCGGGCAAGTACAATGGATCATTGAGCGATTGGTTGACCACTTCAGACTACGATATTTTCACAAATTATGAGATTTATCGTCGTCAACATCCTAAATCTCGCGCCTTCCTCGTTGATCCACACTCAGTTTGGCGTTTATGGCAAAGTTTACAAACGTTTGTGGGTCAACGTCCTATCAGAAGAAATCCACCAAGCTCAGGTTTCATTGGTTAGTAAAAGAAATCATATATTTTTTTGTATTATTAATTTAATTTGAATGTATAATAACCGAAATAATTTCTATCATATCAATATATGAAATAATATAAATAATGAAAAAAAATATAGATTTTACTGAAGTTTCTATATCCATCATACATAATCTCTAAATTGAATCATTGAAATTGTGCTGTTAACAAAAATATTTAAGATTTGTATTATCTTAACTTTCTATCGCTACGTTATAAATGCTTCGCCTAGAAGAGAGTAAGACCAAGTGTTTGTATACTCCAGCTTTGTTCTGGACCAGCAGAGAAATACTGAGCCAGACGCTAATATCTATGTTTGAAAATTAAAAATCTACTACGACAGATATACTTGCTTTCATTCAGGCTTAAATCAGTTATTTCCACAAAATATTAGTATGGTCCACTGTACTGGCAGCATAAAACCTAATGAATATCAATTCTATTACACTCTTTATTTATAATATTGTGAGGAATATCCAAATAAATAAGGGAATAACAAAATTCTACAGTTTCTTGATTAACCTATTACCATATTCTATACTTTAAAACTCCATAACTGATTTAATCAGTTAAGACTAAATTTAATTCAGTCTTTTAGTTATATCTGGAATGAATGTTAGTTAACAGACGTATATCCAGTTAAGAAGCCAGTAATAATAATAAGTTAGATGAAACTGGAAAATCTATTAGTATTCTTATTTTTTTTTAATGAATACATACGATTGATTTAGGCTATTGGTATCATCGATATATTTTAAAACCATTTATGTTCGATGTTTTTATATCCTGATCCAATCTGATAAGTCTATATATGCATATAAAATTTATTTCTATAAAGAGAGTTAAGAGAGAGTTTACACAACCTCCTTCGTAAACCTCCGAGTGACATACCAAAGCGCATTGGCTGTTATTCTAATTCTATATTTAACTTAGCAACTTATCCCCATAATCAATTTTCTTATGCTCATATGGATTTCATTATAGTTTTATATAGAAGTAAGTTATTTTTCTGGAATAATTATAGCATCAACTAATTAGCCTATAATTTACACACTACGTTGCATTTTTTTGCAGATATGTGTTGTTAAGCATATAAACTGTTTTACTAAGTACAAATCCATATTACTTGCAATAACTTAGACATTTACTATACTTAAAATGGACTTAAGTATATACGTATTCAATTCCTATTTTTTATGGGAACTAACATTCATGCAGTATAACTCACAGGCATTTACTGCCGCATATGGTAAAGGTGATCTACAATTTTCGTAGTTGGTTTCTATTTCATTGTACTTAGTTAATTTTTTATGGTATAAGGAACTAAAACCCAAAGTTACCCATAGTTTTTTTTATGCAAAGAACAACTATATTCATTTACTTTTATCTTATGTGTAGTTGTATTTTCCAACCCCGTGCTGTGCTCAAAGGAACAACAGAGATATTAAATGAAACCCTCTTTCTCTCATGGTGGAAAGTATAACCAAGCAAATAGTTTGAATTGGTACCGGTGGAATTCCTTTAAATTCTAATGAGACTATTTATCAATACTCATATCGTCTGTTATGAGCACCATGGTTTTACGCCTTGACGGCAGATATTTTACCAGAATTGTCTTTCAAAGATATAGGAACAGATATCAGATATTTTCTCATCTTTTTCTCAGATTATATACCAGTATTGTCTTTCAAAAATATAGGAGCAGATATTAGTTTATAGTGAGATGATGCCAAAGATTCAACTTTGAACTGCACACCATTGTGTCAGAAACATAATTAGTTGAAAAATAATCTTTTTATCTACTCAAACAAAATTTAATATGTTTAATTTATACATACTTCACCAAATCATATTCATTAGAATTATTATTGTTTTTTTTTAATTTTTCCATATAAAATAATTTGTATTTTTAATTTAAATTTAAATCGCCTGGAGCTTGAATATTTATTTTTATTCCATTGTTCAAAATTTCAGGACTTGCATTGTTGCTGCCTCACTGCCCCTACGTGGACTTCATTGAATACATACCATCGACTCGTTTGAACGGACGCTGCCACTACTACAGCAAGGAGGTACGTATCAATGCCGAGTGCTGCACAGCTTCACGCAGCCAATGCAAGCACGACAAGCACAACTCTCAAGTGCACCATTCGCAAACTTGACCCACATCCTTTCATGCTCCAACTCCACTCATTTCAAGCACAATTTAATTCAATGAAATACAAATTTTATTTTGCACTAAATTAAGTCCTTTTCGCTTTTAATTTTTTCCTATATTTCCTATTTTTCGTGGCTTTATTAAAAATGTTAAAAAATATTAAAAACGTTCTCGTTTCATTCGCAGTTGAACTCGGCATGCACCTTTGGCGCTTGGCATCCTTTGGCAGCCGAAAAACTCATGGCGCTCGACATGAATGTGGCAGATGATATGTCCGTCTTTCAGCTGGGAATATTACGTATACGGCGCCCGGATAAGCTGCTGTGTGGTTTCAACTTTCTTGGTTATTAAACTATGAATTTGAAGTGTTCCCTACAAACAAAATTAAAAAAAGAAATTTAAAAAGTTACTTAAGTAGTTAAAATTACTTTGTTATTAAGTTAAATTAATTAAGAGTTGGAACTTAATTTATATAAGGAAATTTTATTTCATTATAATTCAGTTTTGTAGTCATTAATTCTTTAAGTATCTGAATCATATGTTGATGTCTTCAGAAATGTTTTATTTTATCTGACTAATTTTTTTTGTTTTTAATTTCAAAAACTTATTAAATTAATTTATTATTTTGTATGGAATTTATTTGTATTCTTATATTTCAAGTTCAACAAATTAAAAACAATCGGAAAACAATCGGAATATTCAAAATAAAGGATTTCATTTATCGAACTTCATAAAAACGTTGAGCACATAAATTCCATTGAGGAAGATACGGAAATGCACAAATATTATCATTGCCTGTATTTAATCAAAACATTTATTAAATAAATAAAAACTTTTTCAATAAAAAGTAAAATTCCGAAAATAACAAAAAACTCAACCATCGTATTTGTTTTCATCTCAGAGGTTTTTGTAGACAAAGACGTGATGTCTTCGATGCCTTTTGTTTACTGTTTGATTGTTTTGATATTTAATTTAAAAGTTTCATTCCGTTTTGTTTTATCTCAGCGAGTATTAATCATCCGCAAACAACATGACAATGTGCTTTCCGGGAAGATATTGACTTGACTGTGTGATTTCGCTTAAAATCGATGCTCTCGCATGTATCTGATCCGACGCTGGTACGTGCAAGTTCAAGTTCAATGCACAATTCAATTTGTTTATGTTTTTATCACTTCGAATCCGAGCTGACTTCATAATTCCTAAGGATTAGATTTGACAATCATTACAATATCTTGAAGATATGGAATCAACTTTTTATTAGAAAAGAAATTTAGTATAAATAAATAATCTTTTACGGCACACCAAACTCAAAATTATGTTACTTTAGACATACTCGTATTTTGATGTCATCTTTTATATTGCACATTTTTTCAGTCCGTTAACCTGGAAAGAAATTTTATAAAATTGTTAAGCCCTATGCAGCTAAGCGCACTACACATGGAACGATATATGCAGAGAAGCACCTAACAGAGTGCGGTTTAAGAGCATCGCTACGGCGCTATGCCCCACTAGGGGATACAGTTACTAAGAAGATACACCTAACTAATTATAAATAAAATAAATTATAAATATTTGGTTATTAGGAAAGTAATTTCGTTGTCTCCCACTTGCAGTTAATAAAAACACAAAAAAGTCATGTTTTGGTACAAACTAGCGGAGAATAATGTTTGAGTTCGCTGAAAGCTTCAATTTATCGAATTCGACAGTTAATGACTATTTGAAACGGTTAGGTTTAGTCTTACAGCTCGGGATATGGATGTTACATGTTCTTTCGAAAGGAAACTTCGATTTCCATGTCGCGTTGATATTCTTTATTTGAATCTCGAACGTAAAAAAAAATTACCCATTCCTAAGACACATCATCTGGGTTAATGATGAAGAGTGTTAAATGCTAAAGATCATGTAGTAAAAATGATAAGCAAGCTCAAAGAAATTCCAACACCGATGAAGTTAATGCTTTCTGTTTGGAGATTTCACGAGAATAATTTTTTTTTTTGAGCTTCTACCAGATAATACTGACATCACTTTAATTGTAATAATTTAATTGTAACAAAATAAATTATTTAATTGAATAGAAAAGGTCATATATGATCGACAGAAAAGTTATAATTTTCTCCAAAACAATGCTGGATCCCATAAAAGTTGTATTACTCGCCAAAAACTTATTTATTAAGACCTAAAAAGATAGGCACGTATGGACTATGCCCACTGACTATGCCCAAATATACTTAATATAGAAATGTGTAACCTACATATACATATCTAAGACGTCTCGCAGTTCTTCTCTTCAGCCTTGTAAAAGCGATAAGAGGTGGAAATCAGATGTGTAACCAGCGGGTTTAGGTTCATATATAAGCGATTACCTTTATAATACAAGATATTTCTTCCTTAATTGTCGGGACACGTAGTTGTTTATGCAGCTGTTCATTCGTTATATACCAAGGTACATTTGTGCTCATTCGTAGTATTTTAGATTGAAATGGCTTAATAATTGCCAGGTTTAAGTCGGCTTCAGTACCGCATAACTGAACTTCATAACTGCATGTAAGTTTTAGTGCAGTTTTGTATATAAGCAACCTATTATCTAGTGACAATACAGAATTTCGACTGAGGAACCAAGATAAGTTTCGCAATTTGAGACCAAAGGCTTTATGCTTCACTATCCAGATATATACCTGAGAATTATGTTCCTACAGCTTGTGATAATGGGGTACTGTTTTTACAACATATTGGACAATATTATGGAAGTAGTAACTATAATAATAATTATTAAATAATAATTATTACAAACAAAGTAAAACAAACAAATATTATATATATTATTAATATTATATTATATTAAATTGATTAATTAAAATTAGTTTAATATAATAATATTAAAGACAACTTAATAGTTATTGTCTCAAAAAATCTAATTAATCTGTCTATCTATTTTATGTACTCTTGGTTAGGATCATTGTATTATAAAAGCATATCTGTAATAGCGAGAAGTTAATAAATTCTTACTACTTACTATAATAATATTATTAATATTATTATTAAAATTATATTATTTAAAATTGATTAATTAAAATTAATTTTTTTTATAAAATAAAATAAAATAGGCTTCTCGGGGATGTATGCAGATCTGAGGTCAATTATTGCTTAGTCTGATGAAGTGATAAACAATGATCCACTCAAGGCGTAAAGAGGGGTTTTGAAAATACCTTCTGCTCAAAAAGTACTCGGATTTTGTAAATAAAACACACAAATTTAAATTTTATTCCAAATTTATTTTATCTCCTTTAAAATATGCTCGTAGGCCCGTGAAGGTATAGCTTTTAGTTTCTTCAGCGAATTCTCTTTTACCGATTCAATCGACTCAAAACGCTTACGACGAAGGTGCAATTTCGGAAACAGGAAAAAGTCGCACGGATTCAGATCTGGTGAATATGGTGCCTTAGCGATGACAGTGGTGCCGTGTTTGGTCAAAAAATCGCGTACAACAAGAATTTTCCGTAGTAAAAATCGCAAGATGCGCTTGAGGTAGTCTTACATTAACAAACTTATTGACAGATGGCGCTCAAATTTGTACCATATGTCAAGAAAGGATGTACCAACATAACAAAAAAAATTTTTTTTGAAAAAGGTTTATTACATAAGGAGTAGTTAACAAACAACAAAACATAAATATTATTAAAAAATTAAATAAGTTAAAAAAATTAAAAAAAAAATCATAAAAAAATATGAAATAAATTGAAAATTTATAGCACAATAAATTAAATGTAATAGAAAAATAATTAATTAATCATCATGTTATTATCTCCAGACCTAAGTCACAGCACTTAAATTTTTTTATGCGGTCATTTCTTACGTGCGCAATGTCAAAGTCCTGTTAACTTCGTGGGTTACGCCTAATTATTATTAAATATTATGAATAAGTTATATGAACGACGGTAACAATATATAAATGTCGTCTCAACAGTATCGAATTGCTCATCGGAACGATTATTTGCACCGTAGGATCATTAAAACGTGCAGCGGTTAGGAAACTGTGACTGGAATGACAATTTTTTATACAAAAATAAATAATAAACAAATTTATGTGTGTACCCCGCACCCCGCAGATTCGTTTCAATACCCCAGATGATGAGACATATAGGCAGTAAAATTTTATATCTTACTTACCGTGGAAATCAAAAAATCTATATCGGCAGGTATCAGTATGCAAACCTTAGCAAGGTTATTACGCGTACGTGCAGTCAATTTACTTTGGTGGAGAGGAAAAAAAATTGACAGATTCAAGAACCCTTCGCATATGAATATGTCACCAAAAACGCAAACAAAAATACAATATGTAAAAATTTGCAAAAATTGTGTAATTCACGTAATTTCAAAGTTTCATTGTAAATGCTTTTTAAGTGAGTTTTAATTTGCAAAATTACTTCCCGCAACAAATGCAAATAAAACCGTTCACCGCGCACATTCGTTGAATATGAATTGACCACAGTTTGGAAGAGCCAAGAGTCAAGTAGCCAGGATAAAAAATGCATTTGCACTTACAACTGACACCGTAGAGTACAACAGATGCGCACATAGGCATGCAGCAATTGCAGTCCCTCGGCCACACCCATGCTGCCGCAACTGAAGAATCGGTAGCTGCAAACGGTGACTTGATGTTACTTTATGTCACATAAAAGCCATACATTTAAGTGTTTTGGTATTGAAAGTTCCTTGAACTTGACAGCAATCTTTGGCTCTGACGCTGACGCTGACACCGACTCCAGCTCTGGCTGTTGCTCTTGCTCTGGCTCTTGCTCTGGCTCTTACTCTGGCTCTGTGGGTCTGGCAAACGAAATTCCATTTAAAATATTTGCATATTACAAGTGTCAAGAACCATTTTCGTAAACAGCAAAACAACAACAACGCAACAATTGTCTTCAAATATTATTGAACATACAATAAACTTTCAATAAAATTCATTTAATGCCCTAAAAATGGGCGCTGAATTATAATTTCGATATTTTATTTTTATTTGTCAAACGCAAATATTTTTGTTGTAATTTTATTTAATTTATATTTTCAAAATATTTTCGTACAATAATTAATTAAATTTTTCTTTGTTGGAATCTCATTTGCAACCTAAGAATTTCATTTTTACACTACGATGATTTCGGCCCGTCCAGAACGTTGCCCGGTAGACGTGATCAAAATTACAAAAACAAAACAAAAATTGTCAAATTTCATTTTAAAACAAATAAAATAAATATGCATATATATATATAGATATATTTAAATATATTTTAATTTATATTAAAAATAATATTCGTAGACATGAATCATAATAATAACAAAGAAATCATTTGGAACCGCTTTGGTCAGAGCATGAGGCCGATTGTGTGGCTACATTCAGAAAACCACAATGTGTGGTTTGGTCA